TTGAACAAAAGTATTACAATCTTTTAGTTGCTAACTATAATAGTACAAAACATAGACCATTTTTTTAGTAATGCATAATGAGTATTTCGCTGCTTTGCAACATTTTGTCCAAATATATTCCAATTAAATATAATCTCCTAATATAGCCGTGTAGTATGCAAGGCTGCCTACTACAAAAGAAAGGTTCGTTCTTTCAATTTCTTCCAATATCGATACAACGCACGACACTGCCTTGGTGCTTTTTGCGCACGTGCTTATAGACATCGGACGTCCATTTTGAGCGGAAATCGCAGGTCGGGCATTTGAAGCGCGGATTCTGCTGACACTCGTAAAGCATATGCCTATTTAGGGAACCACGGTGTGTAAAGCGACTCCCGCAGTTATTGGTACAGTGAAATTTTTTGCGCCAATTTGACGTTCGATGACACCAGGATCGTGTGCTTCTCAGTGAGACCGCAGGAAGCCAATTGTAAGGGTCAATGCCTGTAACAGAATACCCATTACTGATAGCATGCCATTTATCGTCAATCAAGATATACAGTAGATAGACACTAATATCACTGCTATTACCATAGAAATCAATAGAATTGTATGGGCAATCTTAAACTACCACACACTGGAATAGAATAATTTAGAACTAAAAAATGAGGGTAATTGTTTGAAATTTATTCAGTTATATCATATTCACTACAATATTAAATTTAATTTACAATTTCATAAAAGTACCAAAAAACGTTCTTCATATATAGTATAATCTTCTCTGTTGATACTCAATTTGTTTAAAATCATCCTAGTATAAACACCATATCAATTGGAAGCAGATTTTCTAACAATACATTCCATTTAGGGCTCGCTATTATACGTTTAAACGAAGATATGTTTACACATATAATTAGTATGTCTGTTTATTAGAAACATTTTTCCAAATATACGTGTAATTAACTATTATACATTTAAACGAAAATACGTTTACACGTATAATTAGCATATCAGTTTATTAGAAACGTTTATGAATTATTTAGAAATTTGGAAAAACGGTTTCTTTAATAAACGGATATGCTAATTAAACGTGTGAACGTATTTTCAAGTATACGTTTTTCTGAAAGCAAGTATAAACGGATAAACGTTTTATGTTTACACGTATCTTCGAAAAACGGAATAAAATTAGAGCTCTAATTTCATTGTCATGTAAACAAATCATCTAATAAGCCAAAGAAATGTAATTCCTGGATAATTGTTTTAAAAAATAATTATATTGCATTATTTTCACTATGTCTACAATCAGATTGTAATTTATTTTCGGTTTATTATAAATATACATTATATTAATTATTAATTTTTTAACGGGGGGGGGGGG